TGACCGGCCGGGGATCGATATTGCTATGCGCACATCTCGCCACGCGCTCGAATTGGGCGGTAGGCCGGCCTAAGACAACGATTTTTAATAATTAATTACTCGTTAACTATTACGAAAATTGCAAAATGGTACAGGACTTTTCCATTCATCTCGATCCGTTCTACCTTCTCAAAAATTTTGTCGGATATGGAAAGACTTACCCTGTATATAGAGATTTAAGATTATGTGTACATTCTTGTGTTTAAAGTAAATCTTCTCTCAATGTGTTATAACGCACGCACCAACACCATTATATTCTAGATTTATGAAATTTTTATTTACGAATAAGATATTCCTTTCTCAATATAATAAATATGATTGTCGCTATATCGATCCTGTCTTATGATAGAAACGCGGAGAGAATTTTCTCTTTTACCCTGAAATTTGTCCTGAAAATCGTGTCATCGTGTAATAACATGACTTCATGAGAGTTGTTTGAAATTTTACCAGTTATTATACTTACATTTAGTATAATTTGACTAGTAAGACGTATGGTAAAATTTCCAAAAACTTTCATAAAGTTGTTCAAAAGGTTGTCCACGTTGTCCCACGATTAAGAGTAAATTCTCTCTGAAAATCGTGTAATGACATTGGATCCGGAAATCTTTTCTATGAGTACGATTACCTTTACGACTACTTTTACTGTTAAATATTATAAAAACTAACAACTTCAGTGTTTTCTCGACCATATCTGGCATCTTTAATAATACAGAAAATTTATTATTAAATATAAAAAATGCCAGATGTGTTCAGGAAAACACCGAAGTTGTTAATTGCCGCTGGCGATATTGAAGAATAAAAAAGAGAGTATAAAAATACCCACGTTGGAGCATCTTATATTTTTCTCCGAAGAAAGGATTTACGGTTTGACAGAATAATACCTGTCCAAATCGTTTGACATCTTCTTGGACAACATCCTGTGTTTCGAACCGGAAAGGATAAAAAAGAAGCTCGCGCGAAGAAACACCGTGAAAGGCGTATCCCGATTGTGTTCTGGATCGAGAGGGCCCTCGAGGCGGGCCCGGACTAATAGCACTCGAGGGGACAAGAAGTCGTGCGAAGGAGAAGCGCGATATGCTAATGCAAATATGGTTTTCCGACGCGCGGACAGTCAGCGCTTGTTGTGACTCATCGGTCAGTCCCTCTCGTTCTGTCCTCATCTCTCGACCCACACGACCTGGCCATCGACCATCCCACATCCTCCCATCGATTTGCCCCGTACCATCCGCTGCGTATTAAATTAAGGAAACACGTGCATTTGTAACCGATTAGCTTGCGCCAGCAGGCGCGCGTGTCCGTCGATTGCAGCCGTGCTGCAACTGCGAGAGCAAGGCGGCTGATGCGAAAATCGATGCTCCCGCGTACTCAGAGGTTCACCGACGGCGCTAAAAACGCTCCGGGCCGTCGTTGCGAGTGCTCATACGCTCGTGTTAGCTGTGCGCACCAGTAACGACCGAATAAAAGAAGCACGACCGAGAATCGTTCGCAACAGGTGTATGAATGTTACGTAACGTAAGTGCCACACGGATGACACACACGATATATACACCGAAGTTCCTGGACAACGAGCTCCGTCTACGGATCTTGCCTACGAATGCTTTCGTGAATTGGTAGTAAAAATATTTCTCTCGTAGACAGAATTTCGACCTGCAAGATTTTATTATACGTTCGTGAGATTTCTCGTTCCGTCTCGTAACGTCAATCAAATTTCGCTACCAAAACAGACCGTAAGGAGTACCAAGATTGATTTTAAATTATTACTTCGTCTGTTATGCCAATATTTCTCGACCTGAGCCTGATCCATCTTGAAAGACGACGCAATAATTTACCATGCACGTCGTTAAATGATTACCGTTAGATCCTCGTTACTCGCGCAAGAAATTTCTGATGTTGTCGTGCGGGTTTTCAGCTCGATGTCGCAATCGCAACGTTGACCGAGCTCATTATGCTCGATTATCATACTCGGCAGATAAGTACTGCAACGGTATACGTGCGATCGCGCGGCCCACAACTTGTGAGATACACAGAAATGTACGGGATACATAAAAAAAACCTAGATTAGACAGACTCTCGTAGAAAGAGGAATGGAACCGTAATTATCTCAAAGAAGCTGTTTTCTATGCAAACTTTTGTTCCAATCTTCCACCCTTCCCAGTGTGCGTCAGATATTCATATTGAAGAAGTCGCTGATTTTGTATTTCTCCTTCAAGCTCTCGAGCCCGTTCGCATTAATTAAGTACACGGTCTTTACCTCGGTGCCTACGTCAACACGATCCGAACCCGCTTAAACTCGCTCGCAATTCCGACTGCGATCAATTAACGTGATTAGTCACCGAGTCTGAACTCACCGATGCCAAGATGGTGACGAGATAACGCTGAGTCCTCTCGTAGTCGAGTGTTCGATTAACCGTGACCTGTCCTTGGTGCGGCAGGTTGATGCTGAAGTAACCGTAGCCGTCGACGGTGGTGATCCTATTGCGCCCGACACCCTCGTTGCTGCCGATCCTGCTGCCGTCGCCGGGCGCGATCGAGTACTCGACGATGCCGTTGACACCGGCATCGGCGTCGATCGCGACGATGTTCTTGAAGATGGTCGAGCCGACCGGGGTGAGCTGCGAACGAGACAAATGACCGTGTGGAGATTATTTTCGACACAACTTTTCCCTTCGCCAAGGAGGAAAATCGTCAACTTACTCCCGCGCCTCCGGCTGCGAATAGTAATAAATATATAAGGGCGTATCTTCGGGGAGGTAGACACTGAGACGCGCCACTTGTTAATTTTCGACGAGAAAATAACGGGCTAGGGCTAGGATTCGATCCTGGGACCTTCCGCTTGCCGGGCGAGTGCTCTTCCAACTAAGCTATCCAGGCCCACGCTCGCTCGAAATCTTTTTCTCTCACCTACTTTACTTCACTGAATAAAGTAGAAATAGTGTACTAGCAGCGCGACCCCAGAGCGATGCGTGGTATCTCACTCGATGGCAGGGGATGCTGGAGTGAATCTGCACTTTTTGCACCTCTCGCTCTTAGAACTGTCAATTCAAGGAAACATTCGTGTAATACACAAATTATATGGCGTACAGACCGATGGTGTTTCGATAGATTTCTTGTTAGGCTTTTAAACTGAATTTCAATAACACCATGCTGTTCTCTGGTTTAGTTCGAATAGTGGGACACCGTCGGTCTGTACACAAAAGTCACATAATGTTTTCTTAAATTAACAGTTCTAAGAGCAAAAAGTACAGAATCGCTCCAGTATCCCCACAAACGAGAAAGCGCGAAATCGCGCGGGATTAAATTTACGCGGGGCGCTTTAACGCGATTTCAGGGGGATGCTGGTTAATTGAGGGCCGACGGGATCAAACGCGAGTCCGGTCGCCGGGATGAATAATTCGACCGGAAATGCGCCGAGCTGGAACAGGCCGAGCAGGTTGTTCGCGCGAGAGGATCTACCGGGTACGAGGGCGAGACCTCGTTGAGGACCACGCGAAAATAATTCAACGGCTTCCCGCGCCGACGAAAGCCGTACGCGTTTCCGATTAACGCGGGGAGATAAGTCGGCGACTTACTTTGTTTATCTAAGGAGATCGGGAACCTCTTTCGAAACCCGATCGACCCGCGTGTCTGTTTCAAATCAAAGACTTTTACTGCGAATAAGATCAAGTGTGTGCTCAAAAAGTGAGCCCGAGCCCGATAATCAAGTTTTATTTTTGGGGATTCGAATAATCACTCATAAAAAATAATGTTCGATGCATTGTACTTGCAAAGTAATCGATTCCGACTAATTAGTTTCGAAATGAGTGCCTGCAAGATTTGGAATGTA